TTGTTGATGAACAACATCTGCTCTGGTGTTTTTCAGTTTAACAGTCTGGAGTTTCACTGAGTCACTCTTTCTTTTCAAAACTGGGTCTGTAGCTGATTTGTGACTAAACTGTGTTGCTGTGAACCGACTTGTTATCATTGTGTTGTTGGTAAAAACGCACCCACGCGCAATTCTGCGGTGGTAATGCTGTACACCTGAACGCGCACAGTCATTACCACTCATGTGTATTCTGTATTTTACTGAACATCCAACACTAGGTGCTAGTTTAAGATTTAATACTGAAAATACAGAGGAATATTTTTCTTTACAAAACATGCTCATATACCGACTGTGTGTCAGGTGTGTGCACATTGGAATAGAAACAGGAGCTGGTACAGGCACACCATTAGCATTTATTTGCAGGGGTTAGGGTTATGGACATAATTCGCAAGAGACAGTGTTGTGAAATCACCTGTTGCACTTTCCTTCATCTATATAGTTGCATGTTTTATAACAAAGGTTAAAAGAACCTGATTATACTCATGTACTCATGCTTGTATGATCTCAGTCTCCTGTGTTTATTATAGAGTGCATTTCTATATGTACTGGGTGTGGTTGTGTGCCTGTGCACTTAAGGCAGGATCAGTATTGTTGTCACTCGCTGCCTCCCTGCTTCTTTCTCTTTTCTCACACACACTCCCCTCACTCCCTCTACAGAGTGACATTCATTAATTAAATATGGTGTACTGCCGCAGGATGTGCTTCCCTTTCCACTATCTCCAGACACTAATAATTACATTGGCATTTAGCTCCGTGATAAGCCGACCCTATGGCCTTTATGAAATGTTCCCTGGGCCCGGATACTGAGCAAAATATAGACTGATGCGACGCTATATATCGATCCATCTGCCTGTCTTCTTGCTTTAATCTTAAGAAAATAGGCCCTGTTGCTAATGCATGGTTAAAGAATCTAACGACATCACCTGATTTTTACATAATCAAAGGCTGAAATCGAGTTTTGCTGGAAATAGGCATGGTGTAATTCTGCACATGGGTGGGCTGTTTAAATTAAGTTAGAGCTTATGGTGATACATTTCTACAGATAAATAAATGCCACAGTGACCACCGTCATTTATGAAACCTATTTTTCTGTAGCCTTTAAGTTTAAAGGTTTGTTCATTATGACACTGTAAACTTTTCATTATTGATTAATCTACTGATTATTTTCTCAAGTAATTGTTTGGTCTAGTGAAAAATACACATCACTATAGTTCAAACAGCCCATGTAACAGATGTCTTGTTTTTTCCAATCACAGGAGTGTAAGAAAACCAGAAAGTAATCACATTTGAGAAGCTGAAATCAGTTAAATTTCCATTTTTGTTTCAGAAATTACTTAAAACAATTATTAGATTTGATCAAAATTGTTGCCGATTGTTGCAGCTCTAGTGGACTTACTGTGAAAACAACATCTTTACTCCATGATTTACTTCCTTCACTATGCATATTATTTTTCTGGGGTCACTTTAATGTGTCTAAAATAAGACAATGTGTGAATGAATGTGATGATAGATGGATTTGTTTTTATCATTTAACTAATCTGTCAAATTCAGTTTTTAATGAATCCATGAATCTTTTAGTCTACAATGTCAGGAAATACAACAATTCAGAACCCAAAGATATTCAGTTTACAGGGATATGAAACACAGAAATGCAGCAACCACACATTTGAGGAAAGGGAGCCAGTAAATATTCAGCATTTTTGCTCGATTATCAACTTGAGCTGAGTTTGTTCCGATTAGTTTCCTGCCAACTGGCTAATTGATAAATTAACTAATTCTTTACTTACTACTGTTCCACAGTGGTATACCTCAGAAAGTCAAAAGGCAAGGCTGTTAACTGAAAAGCATGTATTCCTATAGCCCAAGCAAAGTCTCTGTTGAAGTTCAAGCTGAATCTGAGTCTAAAAACACTGAATTAGTTTTTTTGACTGAAACTGGCATACAAAACGCTAAGATATATACAAGCAAAGGAATGACATGAATAAGCTGAAAGCTCAACTGCGTCAGTTTTTCCCTTTTAAGATTATGCCTCAGTAGATAGAACTGAAGTTAGCCAAAAAGCTTTAGAGTATTACGTTTGATTTTGCTTTACCTAATTACTTTGCCTCAGGTGGCCTGATCAGGCTGGTACATTGCAAGATTATTATGTGGTTTATCAGCTCCAGGGATGTATCAATTAATGCATAGTCACAACTACTGTAAACATGCATTTGGTTTGTAAAAAAGCCCACTTGTACCAGTTACATTTTAATACTTATCTTATACTGTCAGCAATAGCCTGCCATCTCCTCACTCATGTGGTATTATGTTCCTTTTCTTGTTTTTTTGACAAATTGTTAATATTTGCTACAAATATGGGGCATTTTACCTGTATCTCTCACATGACTATGGTTATTTCTCATAGCCTGAAATATAGTTTTCCACTGCTGGGGTAGAAGAATAGCGTAATTCCACAGAGTAGTGTGAAGCAATCACTCCAGGTTTGCCTGAATAATCTCTGATCACCAAATTAAACTCGAGAGTTGAGGCTCACTTGTTCCAGAATGGTCCTAGCTGAAATTACCAGGGAAGGTTTCAGTGAAAACCATCTGGGCTTCAAATTGGACCCCTGGACCCGGGAGGATTGTATGTACCATTCAGTATCAGCTAAGATGACCAGTGTTCTTGCTACCTTGGGAAATCTGCCTCTGACTTCTATTATTTTGGTCGATGTTTCCGTCCTCATCTGTCAAAGGGCCTGAAAGGGGATCACTAGCGAGTACTTTTCTATCTGAACAGCATGCCATGCTGCTGTATTTGTCGCCGGGTACTTGACAGAGCGAAGGATAAAAGCACAAATTGAGTGACAAGAGATGCTTAGATGAGGCAAAATGACATAAGTAGCTGGCAGCTTTATTACATATGTGACTTTCTGTGTACGTTCAGTATGCACACATGCTGTATGTGCTTTAATACTGTGTGGGAGTGGTAATATTTTCAGTTGTGTGGGTTCATGGTAATAAATGTCTCATCTTTTTGTTTGTGCTGTTTCCACATATTTGCAAGGTGATGCATTTCATAACTCCGACTAGAAACCCAATATTCTCTTGCCAGGTGGATATAAGTGGTATTTGTAGAACTGTGCTTCTGGGACCAGCTGGATCTATCAAATAACATAACGCCGTATGTAACAATGTTATTTGATCTTTCCTCTCATCCCCCTCTCTCTCCCTGTAAGGCAATATCTTTGCATACTGTTTTATCAGCCCTCGTGTTCGTTTGGCTAAATCAACTATAGAGCTTATTTGTCAAAAGTGTTGGTAAATTTTCACAGATCTCAATTGAAGTTCAGATACAGTTTACAGACTACGTGTACTGCTGCGTAAAAGTGATTCATGCTTAATGTGCAATTTAACTGCAAGAGTTTATATAAGATTACTTAAAGTTACAATTTGGCTACGGCTCTGACAATTTTGAAGGTATTTTTTACTTTCTTTTCTTTTTTTCACCCACAATTGTAGCATTTTAGACTGAAGACAACACCTGGTTTCTTTGTTGTTAGCCAGACATAGTTTAGTTTTTATATTTCAGTAAATTAACATGGACAAGGTTGAAGCTCATTACAGTTGTAATTGTAGTAGTTGTAAAAAGTTGTCATTTTTGCTTATTAAATTACTTAAATGATAGTGCTAATGAAAACTGTTGCAGATTAAATTATTTGTTGATCTACTAATGGATTAATGGAGTAATACTTTCCAGTTCTAGCCACAGTTTTGCTTATTCCTCAGCAAAGGTCGAACTCAAGATACAAAGAGCATGTCACCAGTAACAAAAGATAAAGACTGAATACTGCATAACAAACTGTGAACTTCAGCCTCAAACAAAACTTGCATTCAGCTCATTTCCTCTCTTGGTGCATGCAGCATGATTTGTATGCATTTCAAACAAACACATTTCAATTTGGCTTTGAAAAGGCTACCTAAGCACAAAAGAACTTTTCACAGCACCTGCCTTCCAGTCCAAATGTCCAAATCCACAGTCGTGTTTATTAGCTTAGCTTAATTGTGCGTAGTATCTAAAGGTCAGTGCCTGCTGTGATACATCGCTGCCAAAATGGCTTCCAGGGGACACTGTTTCAGATGAATAAACACTGAAAGCTGCACCACCTTCCACCCCTCCGTCCCCATCCCTTACCTCCCAATGTGTGGCAGCATCACATTCGGCTCTTTCAGGCCTTGCACAAGGTCCTGTGACTGATGGGCATCCACTGGTACGCACCGCCTCACTGACTTCCATTTCAGCAGGCAAAAGACAGCAGATTAATTCTCTTGTCAATCCCCCCCCCTTTTTTTCTGCAGGAGTTTATTCAGATAGGAGGAATGATGTGTTTGTCCTCCAGTGAATTAAAACATGCAGTTTATCTGTATAACTACAGCCTTCTCCGTGATTAATGGTATTTGACTTCTATAAGCAGTAAACTTCTTCCGTTTGGCTGTAAAAGCTGATTTAATGAGAGAGTGACTTGAATAGATAAGCAGATATGGCAGTGGGGATTATTGGGAGGTGAGCTGAATGGGAGATGGATGGTGTGCAGTTTACTATCAGTTATGTAATGCACTTTTTATAAGCTCATACCTGTGGGGCCAGCAGGCACTCTGCAATGGATGCGAGATTGTGTGCATCCTAAGATATGTGTCAGAATGTATATGTGCTTTAGAGAAGATGTGTACACTCGTGGCGCAGGTCGTGTATTGGGCTGTATTAAGAATTTACAAGAGAAGGAAAGCGTTGCGTGTTGAGTGCCTGTTAAGACAATTTTTCGGTCCATGTTTGATTACATACACTGTGTTGGCACATTGAACGTGTTTGTATGCTTTTGACTATAAAACTGATTGTTTTCAACTGCTCAGTTACAGTGTTTGTCATACTGTGATTTACAAGCCTTTGAAAATGACTCTTACCTCTTAACCCCCCCCCCACAGGCTTTGTTGGGAGGAGGCCATCAGATGGATCTCACCAAGTTTCAGCACACACTGTGGGACATCCTGATAAAAGGAGACAGTGTCAAGGTGAGCACCATCATGCTTTATTTCCCGTTCTCTCTCCCCTCTTTTGTTTGTATTTTCATTTCTTCTAACTGTCATTCACTCCTTGATTCCTTCATTCCTTGGATTAGTTCCCAGTTTCACCAGAAATTGTCAGAGAAAAATTGACTGTTGGGTGGGGACATGGGTGACATTCAGTAGTAGCTACTTGTAGTTCTTGTGGATGTTGGAGCATCCCTCCCCACGAATGTGCAGCGGTGTTGTCTGTACATGTTCGTGTCACTGATTTTAATTTTACTAATGTGTATGTATTTTTATCCATGCTAGCAACATGGCTCTGTAGAATCAGTCCCTTGGTCCACCACTTTGCTCCAGACTGAAATGTCTCAATAACTATTGGGTGGATTGCCATGAAATTTGGTACAGATATCCATGTTACCCAGAGGAGGAAATTTAATTAATTTGGTGATCCCTTGACATTTCCTCTAGCACCACCATGAAGTTGATATTTGTGGTATTGAATGAAATATGGCTTAATCTAGTGCCGTCGCTGTGGTAAAAGATTAATTTGTCCAATACTTTGGTTTATGACCAAATATCTGCAAAACTAATGACATTCCCACTAACCTCAGCTATACTTTGTGTGTAGCGCTAGTTAGCAAATGTTATCAGCCTAACACATTAAACTAAGATAGTAAAACCAATAACACTATACCATTTACCTCAAAGCAACACTGCGCCTAGTGCAACCTCACAGAGCTGCTGAAAACAACTTCCTAACAATGGCTAGATAGATGTAAATGGGGAAAATAAAGCACTGGTATCTTTACTGACTGTGTGCAATAACCTCCAGGAACAATACAGAGACAAGAGAATATCTAGACGATAAGCACAAAATGAGGAGAAATTGTATTTCTTTAACTGAAATGTGCAAAAGCTTGATTACTCCAGAGTTGTAAATGTAGCCGCTGGTGACTTGATGCAGTGATGTTCTTCTAGTTACCACGGTGTGATTAGATTTATCTCACGGTTCTATCCTATCTTGACAGCCACAACACAAATAACCTCATAACACCTTCCATTCTTGAGTCCGTGTTAATTTAGAGCCCCCTAAACTGCCAACATACTTCTTTCTCAGCACAGGTTTATAAACTGCACGTTTTCATCTGACAGCTAAGGCCTAAAAGAAAATGTCCGTGCCTCTCTCCATCTTCTGAACTGAGGACGCGGAGAGTGCGAGATACCATCCTTTCATTTCCGCTTCTCCAGATAAAAAGATGAGAGAGGGAGAGGACGAAAGTGAGGCCTATCGCCGGGCAGCAGTGATTGAGTCCCTTCGCTAAGCCACAGCGAGGATCTGCTCAAATAACCCACTCTGCCGATAAGAAGCTCGTCATTTCCATAGACAAAAAAACATTGGGGTTCAGATTAGATTTCACCATCCGCCTGGCTTCTTTTAGTGTAGCTCCAACATAGAATGTGAATTATAAGGCAAACTCCTGCCCCCCGGCTTTTCACGAAAACACCAATGAAATACATATGGACTTGAAATGGAATGATTTTATTAGCACTGTTATTGTTAGCAGTCGCAGCACTGGTCTCAATCACCAAAACTGCCTCTTTTCTCACCATGCTCTCTTTTTCGATGAAGCCAAGGAAGTCTCAAAAATAAATCGGCATCCAAAATGCAGCCTCACTCTTGTTATTTTTAGAGCCCTTGAGCTCCCTGGTAGCTCACCTGGTAGAGCGTGTGCCCTGTGTACAAAGGCTGAGTCCTTACCGCAGTGGCCTGGGTTCGATTCCAACCCATGGCCCTTTGCTGCATGTCATCCCCTCTCTCTTCCCACTTTGCTTTCTCTTTTCAAGCTGCTTCTATCAAACAAAAGGCAATAAAAGCTTAGCAAGTTGTAAGAGTAAGAGTGTAAAGTACCTTTCTAGATTTTATTTTTGCCCTGGCACAATTAGGGCAGGGTATCATTTAAAATATGTTGACATCATTGCCAACATGATAGTGAATATAAGCACCTTTAAACCATTTTTAATTTATTAAAATATGCAAACCAGCTCAATGCATTAATGTTACATAAATATATATATAGAAAGAGAACAAGGTGCTCATAACGTAGCCATTGGTCTTTAAGGTTCCTCCCGAAGGTCAGGACTAACCTGAAATCCACACAGAAGTGAAGTCAGTGGGGATTGATACATTTGGAGCAACAGACGGCTGTCTGTAAGATTAGAGAAGACTAAAATGCTTCAAAGAAATGTTGATTCGCCTTTAAGACTTGCTGTAAATCAGCTTTTACTGTATATGTTTATTTATTCTTTATTTTCCCAAGGATTTCAGTTAGCTTTCACAAAGTAGCAAACCTAAAGATTAGAAAATAAGTGAAAAAAACTCTACATTAAAAAAAAATCTCTTTTCATTCAACCCAGTCTATACGTTTGACCATTATCCAGTCATATTTCAAGCAAGTATAGGCATTGAAAGGCTTGACATGTGTCCAAATATGACCCTACATGTACATAGATGTTGATTTTCTGTGAACCTCACAGTGTTGAAGATGACAAGTGTTGTGTGTGTGATGTGTTTTTTTAGTCCTATACTGGTTAGTCTTTTATTGATTTATGGGCCTGGCTATAGAGCAAGTAAAGGCTGAAAGGCACTGAAAAGCTTGGTTGTTTGGACATCCTTCAGACTGCCATTGTATCTTTAAATATGACAATTTGCGACACACAAAAGCTCTTTCTTGTGTTTCTAGATTAGGTATAGATAGGCTGGTTGTTGTTCAGTGCACTCAGAGATACCATATAACGATGTAATGCAGAAACAGGGTATGATGATGTATGTGCTTTTGACTCTACCACTGTTACTTTAGCTGAGATGAAACGTAAAGATGGATGGATCAAGTTTCTGTACTTTTACTGTTGTTTGTTGCGTATATGTTGGTTTTTTTTGTCTTCTGTTGATATTTATATATCACATATATCTATGTGTGGAAAAGTTTTACTGGATTTTTATTGGATGTTTTACAGCTTTCCGCTGCTGTGATGGATTTGATTTATTCATCATTGTATGCAAAACAACCGCAAACCAGCTCCTGAAAAGTTTTGATAAGCATTTTTTGTTATGTAATCTTAAGCATTGCTTCTGTTACTGTAGGAGACATGTCAGCTGCTGTATGACACTTAAACATCAGTGCGACACTTTTCAATACTCGTCACATCAACCACTCGTAGGCGTTTGAGTTTCCGTACCTCTTCACTGCTATTTGGGTATCTTAAGTCTTAAATCGAATAATGGTGTGAACTGAACATATGGCTGAAAATGATGCGACCGAGATGCCTAAATAAAAAAAAACCTGATTAGGAAATGAGTGTATTATAGACTGTGCTACATTGAGACAGGTGACACATTTGACCTTTTCACACAGATACAAAGGACTTATTGTCTTACGTTGAAGCCTTGCACGGTAGCTGCAGCGGCTAATGGTGTTTTTTCATGCCACACTTTCATGCCACACTTTATCCCAGCAACGGAGGCCGTCACAAATGCGATGGCCAGCCCAAATGGGCAGTGGTTTCTGTTTCAAGAGCAAACATTACTAATGAATCACTACATCTCTCAAACAGCCTAATTAGGAGCTAATTATTCAGTCTTTTCTCAGATTTTATATGACTTTAACCTGTCCTCCCTTTTCCTTGACAAAGGGTTGCCAGATTATTGCAGGCCTTAGTTACAGTAAACAACATTTGAGGAGATCTGTGAAGCCCACCCAAACCCCTTACACTGAATTTCCTTGATTTTATTCCCCATTTTTTGCATTTGGGAGTTTTGAATTATGAAAGAAAACATACATAATTGTTCCCACTTTCCTATCAGCACAAAAAGATTTTAGATTGTCACACTCTGCCTCAGCGTTCAGAATTGGTGTGGGCTGGTATTTGCAAATAGATATCATTGGTTGTGAATGACAGTAAATACACAGTAGTTCAGTTTCAAATGTCAAAGTGTTTCCTGGTTGAAAACAATTAATTCACTGTCCGTAACAAGACAACAACAGCACTGTAAGCATTGTGAGAATATGCTACATTCACCTCAAGCATCAACAATGAAAATAAAGAATTGTCTTTACACTTAGAAATCCTTTGGAAAAGCAAGAAGCAGCAGTGTCAGCAGTACTAGCATGCTTTGGATATTCAGAGTGTGCAGCAGAATTAGCAGAGTATTTTTGGAGATTGGGGGCTTTTGCTCTGGAGACTGACACGCTGTTAGGGGTACATTTGTGTGAACATTTAATGGACCCCCTGCTGGTCTCCCTGTCGCCCCCCATTGTAAAGAGGCCTAAGCAAACCTGACATCAAGAGCATTTGGGGTACTCTCCGTCTTATCTATCGCAGCACTTTTTTTCCCTCCCCCTTGCTCTCCCCTTTTAAGTAAAGACAACTTTGGTGAATATTTCATGGGGTACATTGCCTCAGTTTCACTGTGTCGAGCAGGGAGAGTGGCACGCGATGACGACTGACAGGCCCATACGCCGGCGTCCGCTAGGAGACAGCCTTTCTGTTTGGTCTGTCTTTCGTGACACTCCTACTCCTTTTCCCCTCCCGTTTTCCTTCTGTCAGAGACAACAGTTTTTTCAGGCCAGAGAGTCTGGCTGCTGATCATTTAGCTGTTTCTTTAAATTTTAGTATGACTGCAGAACTTCTGCCGATCCATCTGATACTGTTCGCTAAAATGCCAACATATGGATACAAATCTGTTTTTGCACAGACTGTAACATTTATAGCACTTAATGATATGATTACACCCTTTTAAATCATAAAGAAACTTAACTGTGCTTCTGTTGCCAACTTTGTGTTTACATTAATGAGTGAATTATCACATTATCAAAGGGGAAGTGTTCTCTTTGTAAAAAAGGATTGTTATTTCTTCAAGTGGCTTCACTCGCCACTTCATGATGAATGATTCCATCTGCCGTTACCTTTTTAAGCTGACCTCAGCCTGGCACATTATAGAAAAA